TACTCAGTTCCCTTCCTCTATAGTTTTTCAACAGCTGGTCTATTAATCAATCTACTCCAATACTTAAATAAAAGCAATGATTCCTTCTATATCATTAAAGCGAACAATTTCCTTTTTCAATACATAATATTTCTCGAGGTGCAATGTTGTACTGAAAGAGAAATCTTCTTTGACTTGTTTTACATTGATGCTCAATTATTTGTCTGTTTCATGTTTGAAACTGAACTTGTACCATTGTTAGTAAGCTGACCAATGTCTAAGTTCTAAAGACCATGGCTTGTTTACGTTCGGATGGAAAGTGTTTAGGTTTAGGTGATGGACTAGATTACGGATCAAGAGATTGGGTTATTTTAGAGAGAAGGCTAAAAAGAATCCTCAATCTATGATCTGCAAAACTTTTTACACGATCTCTATCAAATTAACCGGGTGAAATTAACACGTTGGCGTTCCATGCGCGACGCATTTAAGCCTATTGAAACCTATAGTTCACTACTAAAATTTGGTGTGGATAATGGATGAGGCAATTTGACGAATTATTGGCAGACATCTATTTTAAATAATATCCAATGGTGTACCACATCTAAAATCAACATATTTATGGCCATTCTCAATGTCCTGAAAATAAATTTTAATAATCAAACATCAATAACCTGAAGGGTACATTTCCCCAGCACTATGATCTAGTTATTTATTGCAAGGAGTGCATTAGCTGAACAATTAAAGCTTCCTTCGTTATGACACAATAGTCAAGGCACATTTTTTCAAGTTTCATTATTGACCATTCAAATTTAGTATACATAGAAGATCCATTTGTCTGGTCAACCCTATTTTATGTCAAGGATTATTGGAGTTTGCAGTTCCTTCCTTGAATTTCATGATCTAGGGGACTCAGTCATCATTGACAGCTGAATCTCATTACTAAATCAAACTTTAGCTGTCAAAAATAAAGAAACATGTCGCTGATGCTGGTCTTACCCCATGGCTACATGCCAAAGAGAAAGTGTACCATCTCAAGGGCATCCAGCTGCAAGTGGACAAGAGATACACAGCTCGTGGCAGTGCAAAAAGATGCCCAAATTGCCCGTGGCCATGGCTCTCTTACCTCTCTTGGAGGTGTCGTCGTCCCCAACTATCACTGATGTTTAAAGGCCTTCATACAAACAAACTTGGTTGACAAACATGGTTTATGCACTGCTAATGTAGCAGCTTGTTGAGCATTTGATAAACTGCTTGCCTTGGTTGTGTCACAGCTAGTAAGAGGCTGGACACTTCCTGAGCCAAGAGACGTCACAGAGTTGGTATTCAAGGTACTCTATAGCTAAATAGAGTTGGATTCAATAATCTACCTAAGGGATGTCTAGCTAAAAACTGTGTGTGTGTGTTTGTTAGTCTTTCTCTCTTCCCCACTCTCCCCCTCCCCCCATTGGCGTTGATACCTCCCAAATGGCAGGTCAATAAATAATAATTTTTTGTTTTTTCTTATGGATTGGAGAGTGTATATAATGATAGACCTCAATGTAATTCTTGTTAGTAATGGAATGTAGAGTTAATTTCACATCTATCTTAGTGTAAAGAATTTTAATGCAATTTTTAAGCAAAGAGAGGTAGAACTAATTGTGAAGGAAATTCATCAAAGGTTAGGACAAAGAAATTTAAAATAATTTTCCAACAGGTACATTCAGAATTGAATAATATTTACATATGCTTGAGCTGTCTCAATAGTTTTCTTGTTCATTTATTGAGACGATATAGTCTTCTACCAAATGGAGTAAAATAATCTTTATATTTTGTGTATCATCACCTGGTGGACCAAGATTCCTTCATTTGCATAATCAGGATTCCTTCAAAAGTTACCATGCAAAGTTGGTTGAAAGTTTGTGAAAAAATATTCATTTTCATATTTTAATAAATGTTGAAGCACATGTACATGATTCATCAAATTTTAAAGAAATGTTCAAAAAAATTTCAGAACTGATGTTGAAAACATTTAAAGCATTAGAAATATAATTTTGTTCTCAATGTATGAACCTATCTTATTGAATTTAGGAAGTCATTTGTGCATATTTAAGGTTACCTCCTTTACATTTCTTTAATCATTTGTGCTATCCCAAATAAGTCCTATTTTGATGCATGATGTAGTTGCTTTATATAATCAATCAACTTAGGTCTACTAAGAGATTAACATCGAAAATGATGATCATACATTAACGTGACTTAGTCGTTGTATAGTAAATCACGTAAATTAAAATTTATAAAAGTAGAAAATACCAATTTTTAGATATTTAAAAGTATTTCTGAACAAATATATTAATTATAATTTATTAAAACTTCCAAAAATAATAGTAATTTTCTAGGTCAATCATAGCAATGTAATATAATATTGAGTAATTTTTTAGAATTTTACTTAAAGAATATAATTTTTTATAAATTTTACACTAAAAAAAAAAAAAAAAAATATTTAAAATTCGTGAAAAAGGAAAATAAAGGTATGGATGTCAGGATGATGTCAATGCCCAACTAATGCGAATCGATTGGAAATAGAGTTTTACCTGATGACTTTTACATAAGTGATTATAGACGATTTAACTGATCAAATTAAGATCTGTAAAAGTTAGAAGAATCATAATTAAATGAAGTATAGCTTGGTACATTTAAGTTCAAAATAGGAAAATAGAGTTCTGATGTCGCGGCAGCGATGTGTTGACGATGCACTAGAATCTTGAGCATTTGGGAGGATCATCGTATAGTGTCTACGATGTCGAAGGCTCTCCATAAACAAAGATGACATGGTCAATCTCTAAATCTCCTTGCGAAGTCTAGAGATTAATGAAATAGGTTGTCAAATCATCTCTAGTAGTTGTCACCTGATAAAGTAAAAAAATAATGACTTTGTAACTCTCTGGTGGCTGTCACTCGACAGTGAGGAGTTAGATAGAGGTGGCGTGCATGTTAGTTAGCTTCATCTTTAAGTCTACACAACAAGAGGAGGCTCTTCATCGCATCTAGTATGTTTTCAAGAGGTGGCGACTTGTCTCTCAATAGATTGTCTTCTTCCTGACAATAGCTTATTCGTCGATCAATCCAAGATGATTTACTTGATAGATCTGTGATTTTTTTATCATGAATCGTTGAATAATTTTACTAATAATATTCTGTGAATCACGACTTAATCCTTCATTGACGATCTATAAGAAAGTCATAATAATTAGATAAAAATATAAGTTTTGACTCTAGGAGGATTCAAACCTGCGTTGGTTGCCTACCTACATGTGAGAGATTGAAATAAGTACTCTAATATCTTCATCAAGTGACGTCATCATAGTATATCTTTGTTATAATGAAGGTGTGATGTGAAGCCTTTCAAGGGAAGGTGTGATGCGAGTTTAGTCCCACATCATTTGTGAGCCAAATTTTTAAGTGAATATAAAATAATATCACATTTGGAAGTAATAAATTCCTTTATCTTATGTGTATGACTCCTTGCCCCACACGTGGCTGGCCACTAGTGATGTGGAATGGGAGTGACGCAAGCATGCCCCCATCAGTCCTAGTCACTCGAGCCCCTACTTGTGGCTCTCTTTGATTGCGCTTCTAACCCACTTGCAGGTCCGGCTGGCCAATAGGTCTCCCCCCATTTTGCTATATTTTTATTTTTATTTTTTTTCTTCATTTATCTAAAAAATAAGATTATAAAAATCATATAAATTTATAAAAAATCACATAATTAACTAAAAATTTATGTTAATTAATTGAAAATTAATTTTCATATTTAAACACATAAGTTTATTTATCATGAGTTCAGGCTAAAAATATATTATTTACTAATTATTAACTCATGATAATGAAGACTAATCACGCACCAATTAATAAATACAAATAGTACCCTAGCAACATAGAGGTAACATGAGGATTGAAAAGGATTACCTTCCTTACTACTTTTGAAAACCATTTTGGCTCATGAGAGCACTAAGAAATTACAATGTATGTGAATACAAACCTAAAATATAATACAAATTTTGAAGTCAGAATTTCCATGGTCTACACTTTGTTTGATTTTCTTACTCCATTCCGTTTTCATAAAAATATTGATTTCTTGTTTCAAATATATGTTATGGTCTAAAAGTAACCAGTGTCATGTTCCTAAGCTATGTACAATATTTCTGGCTTCTGCAATGGAGCAGCACAGAATTAACGAAATTAAAAGTTACCTGGTATACAAATTAACATATGCAGGTATAAGCTTGTTCATTTGTTTTATGATCACACTAAACGTTTCAGGTTTTTCAACTCGACTGGAGAAGTAATGATGCATTCTGCTTTATTGTTTAAGACGCATATCATCGTTGTATTTACACTGTAATACCCAATAATCATCACTTATATCATCGTGTACTACTCTCCCTAGTTCTCAGGTCAACCTTGTTCCTCGTTGTTGTCAATCAGTAATGCTTATCGTGGCTCTTCTCGTCACTACTCTTCTCACAGATTTGGTCATAGTGGGTGGGTGGACGGTCTTCTTCTATTGGCACAAGTTGTGTGAAAGTGTGACTGAGCAGACCCGTTTTCCAACTAGAAGAACACTAAAGAGTCGTGGGGTAACCTCAGTTCTCTTGCTCACTTCCGTTTTCAAATAAGAAATGGGTGAAAAGCTCAGGGCGACAGCAATAAGGCATAGCGGATGCGTTTCTTTGGCGGTGACCGTGCCCTTTGTACGCAACAGGCATTCAGCATCCCTCCCATGGCTTACACACCTACAAGAGGTGGTCGTCATCTATTGTGATCCTACCATCTACCTGGCAGCTTTCGGGTTAGAATGCTAACACGACGTATTATGTCTTCTCTAGTTCTGACCCTCTTTTATGTCTATCCGTCTGTCTTTCTGTGCCTCCTCTTTCCTTCTCTCAATGTTCGTCTCTTCTAGTTTTTATCAGATGAAAAATTCATAGGTCTTGGTTTATCAGGATTCAGTTTTTCTTCGACAACGATTTGAACATCGGATATCACTGTTTGGAATAAGTTTCTTCTACCCATGGAACCCCATTCCATTTATTCACCTGGTTCGCAACCATGTTACGAATCATTCTCATAGAATAACAGTGACGATGAGCGGGTTAGTGGTGAAAGGTAGGAGTAACATTCTCAGTATCTAAAGGAGTACCAGAAGATCCGACCGTCAGCGATTGAGGTGTTTTATAACGAATGGATTTGTGATGAACTGATGACTTGCCATCTTTTGCGAAAACATTAGCTCAAGAAATCCTGCTGAGGAGAAAGCCAAATTTTATTACCTGGCTCATGATGAGGAAATCAATTCTGTTGGAACGACTCAATAAGAATAAATTGTTCTGCACCCGATTCTTCCTTCCATCATACTTCCGTCACAGCCACGTTGTGTTGCGAGTCCTCTGGCCTCTGATTTGTTCATAAAGCTCAAGGGTCAACAACAGGATTTATATATGCATTTACCACCAACTTTAGCCTTTTCTAATAATCAGGATTATTGACTTTAATGTTGTTCAGAAGTAAACTTTGTTATTTCTCGATGTCCAGCCATCAACGCTTACCAAATTGAGGAGAATCATATAATCACGCAGAGAAAATGAAAACGGATAGATTACCTGTAAAATACAGAAATGGGCCTGTAATTGTTCTTGCCCATCAAGGAAAATAACTATTTCATTCATTGCTAATAAATGATAAATAATATTAGACATATTCGGAAATTTAATAAGTAGGCATTTCCCTTGTATGTTGATAGTATATTGCTTGGTTGCAGCATATGGCCTGATTATCTCCCTATAACGATACTCGTATGGAAAGATTTTTCATGTGGAAGTCAAGACACAGGTTAGTTTCCACACTTACAGGCTGCTAACACGACTTTTTTTCACTGGGAATCGAAGCATTTCCTTCGAGATCCTCCTACTTGCAGTGGTTTCATTTAAATCGGATCAACTAGCTGGTGTGTAGAAATCAAAAATCGCTTCATTCAGCAAGGACAATAATTACACCATGATTGCCCCGAGATCAAAAGAGCACGCATTGCACATCTTTTACGGACACATATATACATACATTCATAAAAGCGTACGTGCATCGTGCATACATGCATACATGCATACGTATGTACGTATGCATGTATGTACGTACAGCCGTACATACAGACATAGCCTCCCTCGTTTCCGCCCCCGCCTACTACTACCGGGACGACTATTGAGGGGTTGTGGTTATTCCAGATCGACTGGAAACCCAGGCCTCATGCCCTCCTGGTGGTCGCCTTGTCTCTGTGCTGCTCACCGGCGGCGGCGGCGACAGAGGCCGAGACGCTCGTGAGATGGAAGGCCAGCCCCGGATCCCACGCCGTCTCTAGGCTCCTGGAGGCCGGGCCCCGACGCTTCAGCCGCCAGCCCTCGCAGCTAGTCCGGAGTCACATGCAACTCCGCCGGCAGCGTCGTCGAGATCAACTTGGCCGACCGTAGCCTTACAGGAACCATCGCAGAATCGGATTTCCCGTCGTTACCCAATCTCATTCGCCTCAACCTCACAAACAACAGTCTCAGTGGGGAATACTTTCGGCGCTTTCAAAGATCTCCTACCTTGATCTGAGCAGCAACACTTTCGACGGGACTCTGCCGCCGGAGATCTCTCGACTGTTGGAAATCCTCCAGCTGAACCTCTTCTATAAGTACTCAGGGGGCCTGGTCCTCCACCAGATAAGCCGATTCGCAAGGTACGCTATCTTAATCTCTCCCACAACAGCTTCACCGGCCCGATTCTAGACACAGTGGCCGACGATCTGACGATGCTCGAGATCGTCGACCTTGGCGCCAACATGTTCACGCTGCTGCGCCCAGAAACTCGGTCCACTCTGCATATCGTCGACGGTAGAAGGTGGCTATGAATGTCCTCTCTTCGTCTTCCTGTGGATCGCCGCCGAGCTCTGCCACTCGCTTCGTCAGAGTCGGCGGAAGAAAACCTGCACTGCCCCCGGCCGAAGGCGAGAAGCAACAAGGGGACGCCGCCGGGGCTGCCACGCCACAGAGACCATGCAGAATTCGAAAGAGAGAAACAGAGGGAAAGAGAGATAGAGAGAGCGAGAGAGGGACAGAGACAGAGAGAGATAATAGAAGGGGGGAGATGGCGGCGACGGCAGTGGGCAGAGTAGAGGTTATATATAACGTGGCAGGGAGGACGTCAGCAAGAAAGAGTCTTTGGGAGGAGTACCAGGCGTGGGAAAGGCCCTCCTTTCTTGAGTTGTGGATCTAGTCGACTAAACGTTGACTTGATCTTAGCACCTTGGCAGCTCGTCGTCGACGGAAGGTCAGCTCTCAGGAAAGAGATGTTGGTGCAGCCGAAAAGAGGCTCCAACCCACGAACCCGGTTAGAGTTCGGGACATGGATCTATGAGTGATGATTGAGAACGAGGGGAGGAAAGGTATAGAACCAAATTTTCAGTATCACTTGTTTCCTTCACTTCCATTAATTGCTTCCATACTGCATTTAGGCTAACATGCCATCCTTCCTGCAGATCTTATGATCTTTAGTTGGCCTTAAAAGCAGCGTATGTTATTAAACAAAGTAACTAAGGTAAAACCTTGGGTCGCCTACTAAAAGGGAAAAACATGTTGCTACGGGAGAAACACGCCAAATGCCAAGTGAACAATCAGCAAGAAAACAGGGTTATAATTTTCCTGTGTCGCAAACAACAAACAGAAAGCAATGGGAATCATGGAATTCAATGAAGAATAAAGTCTAGGGCTTTTTAAAATCTGATCCTCAGATATGAATGTGTACATATCGATATACCTCCGAAGAACAGAAGGGGGCATCTGTGATGGAAACAACGACAGCACCATGGAGATGCTCTTCAAAAAAATGGAGTGAATAAAAGCAGATAATCTGTTTTAATACAGCTGCTTCTGGTTCGCTGGTTCAAACCCAGGGATGTCAGAAAAGCCTCCACCATTTAACGGTTCGCCCTTGGCATCTTGCCATCCGCCGCAAGAACAAAGACCAAACGCGGTCGTGATTTAGGTAGACAAGGCCGTCTTTTTACAGATCGGGCAGAAGTTCTTCTGAACCAGCCATTTTCCAACACAAGAAGCGTGGAAATCATGCCCACAGGTCAACACCCCCAGCTCCTCGCCATCGGCGTAATCTTCCTGTCATTCATATCGGAAGGAGTGAATGTCAGGCAAAAATTACAAGATACATGGATGACCGGAGATGGTCTCTTGGTAATTTACCTGGCAGATACAGCAGGATTCTGCCTTGTAGGCCGCAGAAGATGGATATTTCATTCTCTTCAAGTTCTTCTGCACGGTGTCCTCGGACAGGCCCGCATTCGCCTTCCCAATCTGCTCCTCCAATTCCAACAGCTCCTGCCAAGAACGGATACATAATTCTCATGATTAGTTGACTGCATGCATCCTGGAAAGGAGAAGCTAGAAATGACGGGGTTTGACGATCTGACCTCATACGACATGGTATCTACATCGAGACTCCTATTTCGATGCATGTAACGGTATACGGACTCCTCGAAACTCATTAGATCCTGTGCGAAGACGGAGAGAATGCTAAGAAAATCTACGTTACCCGCACACTATAAAAGTCGGAGTATGTGAACGAGGTCTCACGTCAATCATGTGTTCCTCCGTTTGCAAGTCCGGAGCATTTGGGCTTTGCTGCATAGAGAAACCACACAAAGTTAGACTAAAGAATATGGTAAACAAGGCAGATAATAAAAACTGCCATTTGGGGGAGAGGAGTCGACCCCAGGTGATAAAAGAGATCCCAATAAATTTTCCCATATGGCGGTAGAAAAGCAGTAAAAAGGGCTGCAAGCAGTGACATCAAAGAAAATTAATGCTGCGAGTTCAGCAGTCGTTTCAGCTTACTGCTAGTCATGGGCAACACTTAAAAAAATGTCGATAATAAATCGTAACATACAAATGACGGTCATTCTGGTCCCTTCTCTGGCTCGGTTAGATTCCGTAGGGTCTAAAGTCTTCCTTCTTGAGAAGGAGAAGAAACGTGGTTCAAAACACACGAAAACTCAACGAGACCCGTGACTGATCATACCTCAGATGTCATCATATTTGTTGCCTGATAATTCCACAGATCCAAGGCCCCGGAAGCAAGCTCTGATGAGATATCTAGATACAAACTCATTCGAACTTGCTGGGTCATCCAAATAGGAGTTGCTGCTGGCGGAATAACGCCAGAATCGGGAATAAAGAGCAAAATGGGTACCACGTTTACTCTCATGGTCATACTGCCACTGCCCAGACTCCAGAGTTCAGGATCAGTAGTTGGCCCCCCTGGTGAGACCGCCGCCGGTCTAGGTGATCTCGGAGCAGCAAGACTGCGCAGGTAGAAAAATATCAGAGTGTCACTTTATTTCCCTCGAAATTCTGTACTTGGTCGCACGTGAACAATGCCGGCACCCCGTTTTCATGCAGCGGATCAAAGGCGGAGGAAGGGAGTCTGGTCAGGAATCATCCCCTGTTCGTGATCAATGTCGACGGCAGAAAAGCAGGTTGTAGACCTTCGGGCATCCAACAGAACTAAACCGCCCGTCCGAGATTAATGGGTAGAAGGAAACTACAGGGGATCAATTAACTAGAAAGAGCCCATCTTCCTCTTTTTCACCTGGAGCTCGAATTGAAATACATGAAGGCTGAAAGTACCACCAACCCTCTACAGACGAAGAGAGGAGATGGGCTCTTTCTAGCAGAGAGAGAGAGAGAGAGAGAGAACGGAACGAGAGGCCCACGAGGCGAGAACGGGTCTCTCTCTGAGCAGTGGAAGGACGGGACGACGGGGAATGCGGGAGAAAAAGGAATCGGCAAAGAAAGAGAAAAAAACAAGATATAAAGATCGATATGCGGCAAGAACGAGAGGCCTCGGAGATACGCGGAAGGAGTGAAAAAGATGCTTACCGGTGGAAGCCGCTTCCACGCTGCGTCGGGATTCTTGGGCCAGTCTGCATATCTCCCACCGGAGCAGGTGGCTCGGAAACTCCTCTGTTCGTCTTCCTGCTGATCGTCCGCCGTGCTCCGTCACTCGCCTCCAGGGAGTCGGCGGAGGAAAACCAGCACCGCCCCTTGCCGGAGGTACAAGACGGCCGAAAGAGAAGGAACAAGGGGACGCCGGCGGAGCTGCCACACAGAGCGGCAGAGAGCGAGAGAAAGAAATAGAGAAAGAGAGCGAAAGAAAGGAAGCGGAAATAGAAACTATGGCGGGAGGAACTACTAAAAGCCGAACTAGTTGCGTATTCGCCGCAACGGGCGGAAATTCGAAAATGGGCGCGAATCTGATAACCCAGTGCCGTAGGTTCAAACGAGCCGTTGCCACCCGCACGCCGCACCCCGGGACGTCTACACAATTTCCTTTTCTTGAAAGGCTACACGTAATTGCTCCGTGCTCTGGGATTAAAATTCACCTTTTAGGTCAATTTATACCAAGATAAGTATCGAATCAAATATTATCCACATAAAGGAAACAAAGGATCAAAACTTCTAGGAACTAAGGAACTGAACGTCCAGAGGAATTACACATTCTACTCTTAATAGTTGGAGTACATTAGTACTTAAGGTTCATCTAAAGCCCTAGTTTTGATTAGATTAGCTGGTGCAAATCTGTTTTGCCCCATCAAGTTGTGAATCTTGAAGAGAGAAGGGAGTCTCTTATGCACATTTGAAAGGTTTTGGAGAGTATGAGTTGTTTTGAACATGACCACATCCAAGGAAGGGTATGTGAATAACTTTATAAGCTGTAGATTTTTTTGTAGAAAATACTTCTTACTGAGTATTTTCAAATGTTTGTCTACTTAAAGAGAACTTTGCTAAAAATGAAAAAGTTCACAACCTATATTATATATATTAAGACTTTTACTTAAGTTTTGAAAAATGATTATATATGCCTGCATTTATAGTTAATAGCTCATGTGGAAAGTGTTCTCGCTATTTGAAGCATGAACTCATCAAAAAGCTCTCTCTAGAAGAGAAATATGATCTAATTAAGTTCGAAAACATTGAATTTTTATATATTTTACAATTATGACAAACATTTCTATAGTTCAAATTGCAAGCATAGGATTTGACATGTTGATGAATTGTGTCCCATTATTGTTGAAATCAAAAGTAACGCAATTAGGTATCTATATATTGAAAAACCTCTGGTCATCCAAAGTAGAAGAGAGTCAAGGGAAGAACGAGAGTGAGATTTCACCTGAATCTAAAGTCAGCTTCATTGCCTATGTTCCTTGTAAGGAGTTTGTACCCATCTCTAATGGTTTGTCATCATAGCTACCTTAAAATTTCAAACACTCCCATACACAACCTTCTGTAATGAATAAAATAGAGGAGGAAGCTTCTATGATGATTAGAGCTGAACACTCACAAATAGTGACTCATTCTAATTTCAATTTAGAGTTTAATTGTTCACTTACTTTTATTTAAGGCCCTAATATTTATGCGACTAGTAAATGGTACTATATGCTGGTCATCTAAATTTGAATCTATTAGAATTAAGTTGGTCTTATAGGTTCAGTTTTCTTCAGTTGTGAATCTATAAGAAACAAGGGAGTGCTCGGTTGGTCAAGCCTCTAGTATAAGAAAGAAGGGAGGAAAGTCCTGAATTTTTTGCAGCCATTAAAATACTTTATTTAAAATACTGAAGCCTCATAATTCAATATGCATTATGTCCTTTGAAGTCATAGAAATGGGCATACCCCAACAGCTCCTTATTGTGCATGGTCTTAAATGGCTTCTTGTCACCTTAGCAGATTTCTCCCTCATTAAGGACCAATGGAAACTTATGTTGGAGCCTATATCAACATATGTTTTAGTGATAGCAGATATACATGATATGAAAACTTACAAGAAACTATGCTGAACATAAATTAGATTAAATACACATGAAAAAGTTAAAGATGTGTACTAACTTAACTGGTGCAAATTAAAATATAATGCATCTTAATGATATTTAGTGTCTAAAAGTTACCTCAGGAAATCACTTTGATAATATTTTTTAAGTTGTATAATTATGAGAAACTTTTACTTAAAAACATTACTTTTTTTGGTGCTATTGTAACTAGTCATAATTGTACAAATAATCGTTGATGAAAAGTAATGATTGTACAAATAATTTTACATGGATGATTGAAATATATTTGTTTACTTAGTTTGATAGATGTTATTTATTGAATTTATTAATCTGATTATTATTGATAGAAAATTATTTTGTTGAACCAATTGGTTACACACTATTTAGAATTTTGCAGAAGCTAATTAATAAAATTTCAATAATGTTTAAGGTATGATGAGTCCTCAAGTTAATGATGTTTCCTATTGAAATGATAATTTATGTTTTGTTTGCAAACTCATTACTTTATAAGGAGTGTATTTTTTGTACTAAAAATATAGATTTGAAATATATATGTTAACACAAGGCATGTGTATTGGTTTGACTGTAAAGGATACTTGAATCCTCACAAGATCTGTTTGATTTGAGACATCACGCTGAGGTGAAGAAATTGATTGAAATGACTTTGTTCTCAACATGATTCAATTTTCAATGTGTTCATCAATACAATAGCTACACCATGTAAAGGCAAGAAAAACTCAAGCCCAATTCCACCACTTCCTTAATGAGTTTTTGGATATGACTAAAGGATCCATTAACTAATAAAAAATCTTTTCATGATGCCATGTTTATTTCTAGTGGGATAAACATGTGATTTTTAATGGAAGCTAAGCTTTATAATTGCTACTGGCCCATCTAGAGTCATCAATCTTAAAAAGCATTTCTAGAATAAATTCTACGAGAGTTGATTTATTAGAACCCAAGAACTGAGCATTCTTAAAAGGTGAATATGGGTAGACGGCCAAATTAGTATAACAATCTTGGATTGCACCAAATTTAGATTGAAGAAATTGATGAAAATTTAGGATCACTAGAAAGAGATTTGAAAAAACTTTAAAATCAATTCAACATCTACCCTCTTCTTTATCTATGTCTTGTTGATGAAGATATTTATATAGAAAGGAATGGATAGAATTATACCTATTCTTAATATACATGATATGTGGTTGAATACGAAAGTGTATATGTTTGGTATGGTTCATTTTGATGACAGGAAACTACTCAATCAGAATGGTAAGCACATCAGAATCAACAATATGAAAACAATGTCAAACACACCACACTTTCATAATAATGAGCACCAGACACCCCATATGTTCGCCCACCTTGACAATGAGCTGCTTGTCTTCTTCTATCATCTCAAGGTTCAATGAGAGATGGATGCTTTGCTCGTGTCATGAGGAAGACTTGCTCTCCCTTCCTCACAGTTTTGAGGTAGATATCATCTATAAGCATTGTTGGGCATTTCATACTCCAAATACGAGACAAGGACTTTCTCCATCTTACAAGAAGGATACCATGTAATTAGAATGTTGCTTAGATGGTCGAGTTAGTCCACCATCTAAGTGTTATTTTGGAGGAGAGTTATTCCTTCAACTCCTAGAAGAATAGCTTCTAGGCGCCAATAGAGGGCCGTGCTTGGTCCTTGCTGCACATCCTTCATGACTGTTTTGCGTCGCATGTGAGATGGTGCAAGTGCACTGCACATCAATTGATTAGTCGTCTCTCGTGGACTGACTATTAGCCCTTCAATAGTGAGAGAGGCTTTCTACAGCCTCCTACGACTCTTCATCATTACAATCATCCTCCTAGGCCCTCACTCATCTGGAGTGGGCTTCACCTGCATCTGTTTGGGAGTCGTCTGAGTGTGCCTTCATGCCTAGAAATGAACACCCACATTCTCCAGTGTGGAGGCCAGAAAGGTCGTATGCATATTCTTCCAGCGAAGACCTCTATTCCAACATTTTGTTCTCACTGGCTGTATGTTCCTTAGCCGAGACATGTAGAACTCACTATCACACCCGTTCTCACATGGTAGAAATGGGCATATGACCGTATTCTTTCCCACCAACGAACTCGCTGGGAACTCCTCAATATGGGTGGCATTTGATGCCTATTTATAGGGAAGAGCTGGTCACAGCAGATTCCTATACTGCCCCTAATAAGCTAACATCCCAATCACCGTTGGTGTGATGTCTTGATAGCATAAAACATGGTAAATGTCCTTAACACACTGCTGAAAG